GACTCCTAAGCGGACGTTTGCGTGAGCTTAGATTGCATACGCTAATTGGTTTTAGTATCGCCCCAGATTCTATACGGCGCATCGTCCCCTCTTTACCGTAAACGACGCAACTCAATAGCACATTCACCGATAGATCATGCGTGATCAGCCCCTGGTCACAGCCTCCAGCTCCTTCATATACTTGGGCTGTAATAACAACTGGTTGTAGTTAATAAGACATTATATGTCGAGCGCGGTACATACAGCTACCCAGACAGATGCTGGTATTGCCTCTGGACAGATGCTGGTAACACCCATGGATCCGGAAGCTCTTAGCATCCTGGATGATCCGGGTAGCCTCCTTCTGTAAATCTATAGTGCTATGCGTTTCGACCATTGTGCAAATTCGTTCGATTCAATTGAGTTCAATCAAATAGAATACTTTTCGAATGAAGAAAAAAATATGATGATTTATAATTCAAAAAACTTTTAGGTAAGGAGACGGTGTCTCCTCGAAAAATAATCGGCCGGGTTGAGTCTCCCGGGTATGTGCTGATACTCGGCCGAAACCAAAGGCTCGAATTCTCGCTGCGTACACTTCTAAGTCATTCCTTGGTCCGTCTTCTCTCAATAAGACCTTCCACAGCCTTAAATTACCCGTCAGAATAATCCTCCTCGCCCCCTCGTCAATGTACTCGAGAGCGGACTTATATTTCGCCAGCAGCTTGCTTGTATGCGCCTTGGATTTCCTTGTATGAAGCTAGGTTTGTGGTCGTCTGCGTGAGCGGAACGGATTCAGTCATTACAGTCTGGTCGTTACAACCATTCCAGCTTGGTCATTCGATACATCAACAAAGATCACAATCGTATTCGCAATTGCCGGTTTGACTCTCTCACTGACAATTGTGCGTAACTCTCTTGCCCACCACGTGCGGGTAAAGTATTGCCTTTTCACTGATAAGTGCTCCGAGAACTCGGGGAGAATAGGGAATTTGCTTCCCGAGTTCTCGGAGCACTTACCTGGGGAACCGGCCATTCGATGGCACGTACCCAGGTTTATCGGCGAAGATGCCGTTACGTATGAGCAATGGATAGCTGACCGGCTCTACGATGATACGATAGAACTTAGCCAGAACGCAGAACGAAGGGATCTAAAAGAACGGCGTTACGACTCCTAAGCGGAAATCTATCACAAAATGCGGAGCTGTCAGTACAAATCCGGCCACGACATGTGTGCGTTATTTCCACACGTTTTTGCCCGTGTTTCCACTGGAGTCCCTTTTCAGTATTTCCCTGCCACATTATTGTGTGATCACGCGGGTGCCGCCGTTTCAGAGTCGAGTTTTTTTAAAAGCGGAGTTGGCTAGCATGAACACAACCGAGTATGCACTTCAAGGGGGAAACACTTCAAGGAGGAAACACTTCAAGGAGGAAACACTTCAAGGGGGAAAGACTTGCACTTGTCTTCGACGGGGGGATGGCACTCTTTATGTAGGTGCTTATGGTGTCATCAAAGCCTCGAAAACTCTGTCTCTACGTACTTTCCGGAGGGTTTGGTATTCACTGAGAAGAATCTCTACGTAGAGACGGATGAGCCTTACTACACCGCCTGCGATCAGCATCTGTGTAATCTCAAGTCGAAGTGGACAGTAGTCATTACGATGAAACGAGTCGTTTTGGAAGCCGAAGAGATGTTGGAGAAGGCCCGCCAAGTCCAGAGGGAGTGGGAGCAAATCAACGACCAGACGTAGGCACAGACACGACCAAGAGTGTGCACACATGTCCGAAGTGTGTGTCCACACGTGTGCGAAGTGTGTCCACACGTTTGCGAACTGTGTGCATATGTGTTGGCATTGTAGGACGAAGATATCGTCGCCGGCGATCTACAGAAAGGTGTTGGAATATGCACTTCGGTGCACGGACGGGCGGAGTTGGGTAGTCACGCCGGAGACGGGACGACCGGAGGCGGCGGAGGACGTTTCGATCCCGGTTCGGGTGGTGGAGGCATGTCGCGAAATAGTGGGGAGCAAGCCCTTGAAGGGTGAGGTGGAGATCCTTGTTGCGGATGAGTTTACTCCGACGTTGAGTGAGATTCCTATTGCCAAATCCATAAGGAAGCATGACTTCTCCAAAAAAGTTTCCTGTGACGATTGTGGTCGGCATGAGAATCTTTGGTTGAATTTGGCAGACGGGTATGTCGGTTGTGGAAGGAAACAGTATGGCTTAGAGGGTAGTGGGTGTCAAAACGGCCTGGAGGGTGCAGCTATACGACATTGGGAGCAATGTAAGGAGAACCATGTCGGTTTAAAATTGGGAACTTTGACGTCTGTGAATGCGGAGCTCTACTCTTATTCCTTTGACACACCTGTCAATGTTCCACGACAGCTACTTGACGCCTGCTTGAAAACATTTGGTCTAGATCGAGAAATGTGGTCGGAGAATGCTCATGAAAAAAGTTTGGCTGAACTTGCGGCAGATGCGAACAAGAATCTCAGTATTTCTCAAGGATTTGGCAAAGAACAAATGGTCAATAATGAAGGTGTACTGGGCATGCAGAATCTTGGCAATACATGCTATATCTCGTGTATAGTACATTGTCTAAAACTTATCAATTTATATGAGACTAATGACCTCGTAAAAGGAGAGGATAGACGAGATGAAAGCGTTGCTTCCGCTTTGAATATATTGATCCATACTCTCTTGACCACTGAGCCGGATGTGAAGTATGCTAGGGAATATGGTCAGGTCTTTTCGAAAACTATGAAGGCTCTTAGGGACCTGGTGGGTAAGACTGTTGCGGATCCGTCAAGTTCGGATCCCTCACGCGCGGATCCGTCAAGCTCGGATGCCTCACGGGCGGATGCCTCAGGTGACTACGGGAAAGTATTTGAAGGAAGCCATTTTGATGAAACTTATCACTATGGTGCTCCTAAGCCTCTGTTTTTGAAGAGACTGATTGGTTATAAGTATCACTCATTCAATAATAACGAACAACAGGATGCTGAAGAATACTTCCAGCTTCTTGTTAATGAGCTTCCACAACAGATATTGAAATTGTTCCTTTTAGAAGGAGCGGAAAACATTTCATCATCTCCAAACCCTTTCCATTCTCCTCTTCTAGATGTCATGATATCGAGATCTTTACAAATTGAGTGCTGTCAGAATGAGGGGAAAACAATTGATTTCAATGACTTAATATTGAACTGTGATAAACAAATTTCGCATTACCCTAAATTCATGTTTGTTGTCGTTCGAAGAATGACACAGATAGATACGGATAATAGGAAGCTCAACAATCTGATTACTGGACAATTTCTGGAATACGATTTCGGTAACCTTAAGATGACTGAGGAAACCTCCGGATCTCTCAAACCGGAAAACTCAACAGGATTATCGGAACAAATTATCAACGAAGCGGCAGCCCTCGGATTTTCAGCTAATCAATGTCAGATCGCCGCTCGAAAGTTGGGTCAGCCTATCACATTAGAAGCTTTGGCCAGCTATATTCTGGATAACCCCGATATTATGTCTGATGATATAACTGAACGAATCACTATGGTTATGAGTATGGGATATAGTAAGGATCAAGCTGAGATTGCACTTAACGCTTGTAATGGTAATATAGAGGACGCTGTTAATCATTTACTGATCCATAACGGGGAGGTAGGTCAAAATTCATGCAACGATACTCCCTACACCGGAAGTACTAAGTACACCCTCATCGCCACTGTGAACCATACAGGCTCCAGCCTTCACGCGGGTCACTACTTCGTGATGAATCGATACCCTACCGGTAAATGGTACCATATCAACGATGAGTACGTTAAGACCATTGATGACGAGGACACACTAACGGACGCCATTGGGTCAGCTTATCTTTTGTTGTATAAGAGACTCGACTAAGGATCGAACAAACTCCTTACTTTCAGCCTCCCAACTTTCAGCCTCCCAACTTTCAGCCTCCCAACTGTTTCGCAGTGCTGACACTTATCTACATTACTGTTAAATAACTCTCGGCCGCCAAGTGGGCTTTAGAACTTTTTCGGAAAATGAGGGTTCGGGTACAATGCGTAGCGGGCGGGAGCGATGGCATTGCTGTCCGTATCAGCACAGATGGAATGAGATGCTTTGAAGACTTGGTTGAAGAATGCGCGAATATCTGGCGCCTTCCAGAAAGAGTAAGATTGTCTGTGTTCGGGACTCCGGTCAATAAATATATTGGATGGAATTCGTTACGGGAAAATGTATTGATTTCCATTGACACAGAACCTCCACCTGACGCAGATGAATCAACAGTTTTCACTGTGAAGTCCGGGGCACAGTCGGGACCTCGTGGAAGTGGATTGGGAAGTGGATTCGGCGAATACCTCTATGCTGAAGGATTCCCGCAGGAAACCTTTCCAAAATCACCCTATGGAGCGTATGGCATCTTTCCTTATGGAATGCACCCGTATGGGATGCATCCACTCGTGACACGTCCACCCCACTCCTCGCTGTATCCCCACATGGCGACTCATCCATGGGCACCGCTTTACGGGCCTCCCTATTCTGGCGGCGGAGCAAATCCGTCGGATCAACACGCTACGCATCCATACTCACTGTCACACCCGTGTTTCGCAACGCACACATGTTCAGCAGCACACGCGTGTTCAGCTGCACACACGTGTGCCTTAGCGCACACGTGTGCACCGCCCCGCTTCTGTGATTGCCCGAATTGTACTGCGCAACCACTTACCCATAGCACTTGTTGCGGCTGCGTCCGGATCGCCGACGGCTGCGCCAGTGCCGTGGGTAATCCCGGCCCTGTGCGCCGACGACCGAACGGCGGTGCTGCGCCCCACCGAACCGGACCCTATGAGTCAAGTGCCCGGCCAGAACCAGCGGCGGGTTCCACCCTCACAAACCCGGTTCAGACAAGCCCGAATCAAACGGCACAAGAGACCGGGGCACCGCGAGAAGGCCGGCACGAGTTGTACGGCGTAATTTCCTCGCGGGTCTCGCAGCAGGCCAGCGACCCCCAGGAAGAATTGCGCTTCCTGCTCTACACGACGGCTGCCGCTGCATTGCGCGCAGAAGCGCGCGAGTACAACGCGCACCCGGAACGGTTCGTTGCCGCCAGCCAGGCACTCGATGCCGTCGTGACCCGAAACGCCGACATCTACAGTTCCCCTCAATCAGTGACCGAATCAATCCCGCGGTCCGCCCCCCGGGCAGCCACCAACTCACCCACCGGGATAGCCTCCGGGTCCCCTCCCAAGCCACTTACCAGGCCTTCCAAGTCAACCTCGAACGTGACTCTGGTGGAAGACGGCGGTCACGATGGAGATGTGGTTACAGGGTCGTCCAGAAAGGAAAGATGTAAGCGAAAGTCATCAGAGCGAAGGTCATCAGAGCGAAGGTCATCAGAGCGAAGGTCATCAGAGCGAAGGTCATCGGAGCGAGAGTCGTGGTGCCCGTCGGAGGAGGGCGCTCCAGGCGGTATTGCGGCGACGGGTTTTGATTTGCAACGGTTCAACGCGGCACTGGGCAGCTCGCGCAAGGGCGACCGCATTGTCTTGAAAATCCGAGACGGTCGGGAAATTGCCGGACGGTTCGACAAGCTGCACGAGGCGGGTCAACTTCTTTCGCTGACCGACGAGCAGGCGAGTGTGTGTTGCACGACCGGCGACATCGTATGGGTCAAACGTAACGATGAGTACGTTTACCCGCAACGCGAACCGAGTTCCCCCAGAGTACCGAGTTCCCCCAGAGGACCGAGTTCCCCCAGAGGACCGAGTTCCCCCAACGGACCGAGCTTGGCCGGAGGACCGAGATCTGCCAAAAGAAGACGGAGTCCAGATGGCTTTGGTGGGCCCGGGAGACGGCCCTTCCTAATGCGGTCGGTGGTGGTGAATGACCCTGGGATAAACGACCGGAACAGCGACTCGTTGTCCTCCTCGAGCTCCGGGTCCGGCTCGTTGTCGCGATCGTCCACACCTTCCTCGTCCTCCTCTTCATCTTCCGCATCCTCTTCCTCTTCATCTTCCTCTTCATCTTCCTCTTCATCTTCATCTTCCGCATCCTCCTCCTGTTTGTGCGAGACGCGTGACGTGAAGATGTCTGCCTCACCTAGTGCGAAAGAACGGTTCACGAGTGGACGGCACCCGGTCCTTCGGGGCAAGGGAGGTTGCGGGCTCGAGAGTGGCTGGCGAGAAGACCGTTCCGCCTTGGATACCGCACCGGACCGATCGTCTTCGGGGTCGGAGGACTCTTCTTCGGAGGAGCATGAACTGGACTCTTCCTCGTCAGAGGTGATGGTGAACGGCAGTGGTGGCGGGCGGGAGGCCTCATTACCCGTGACGGCATCGTTGCCGGTTCCGGCATCGTTGGACACGAGTAATGTGTTCGACGCAAATAGTTTGTTTAAATCTTTCCCGACAACGAGAATGTTGCGAGGCCATCCAGTTCTGTTGGAGCAGCTGGAGATCCCCAACAGCGTATTTGAGTCCCAGGAACTGGCTAAGGTCAATGACTGGTTGCTGGCTCAGTTGGATCGGTTGAGGGCAAAGATCCGCCGAAATGTAAATTACTGGTTCAATCCCGTGAATTTGCAACATGACGCTTTCCTCAAAGCAAAACTCAAGGCCTTCACCAAGGAGCTGGAAGGTTGTAAGGAGCTGGAAGGTGGTAACGGATTACGGGAGCAATGCATCCCGCTGACCATCCTTATGAGGTTTAATAGCATACGGTACAGCACTGCGAACCCGGAGTTCATCCTCCGAGCAATAAATGCTCCCTCGGACTTCTACCGCGTCGCCAACTTCAATAAGCCGGAGGAGTTAGAACTTGACCCCAACCGCGTACTCATATACACCGTCGCCCAACCAGCTATATGTCCGGAACCCGCCATGAGGAACGAAAAGCCCATGAGTAGCGGGGAGCCCGAGCAGGCCAGCGTCCGAGGCCGCCCGAAAACGGAGTCTGACGTAAGACTTGTGCCGGCTAAAGTCAAGCTACGCGCATCCTTATCGACAGCCGGTAAACCAGCCGACCCGGTCTCCGTCTCTGTTAGTGCGCCCAGTGCAAACCCGCTTTTGGATGATGACAGTGAGACTGTATCCCTAAGAGATGGAGACCAGACCATGGCGGTGGACCCATTGAATACGGCGATGGCTGGCACGGCCACGGTTGACACGGTCACGGTTGACACGGTCACGGTTGACACGGTCACGGTTGACACGGTCACGGTTGACACGGACACTCGTCCGGCCGTGGTGGGAACGGTCGTGGTTGGTACGGGCGCAGGTGATAGCGATTCTTGTCGGGATGTCGATGGCAGCGACCATAAACCTGTGACGACCCTTCCCGCTCTGGATGCGTCTAGGTCCACACAAAATACCAGCGCTCAAGTCCAAGGTGAACCAGCCAAAGAAGATTCATTAAGCAAGGACATGGTTAACAATGTGGACAAGGACGGCGAACAGTGTGTGGAAATTTGCATGACGGTCCAGTTGGACCATCCTTCCACCCCAATCGAAACCCGAAAAGGAGACAGCGATGATAAGTCCGCAACCGAAGCCGACAGGTCCAGCGGGACAGGAAAGTCTGGTAAGACCAACGAGTCTAGTGAAGGGGGGTCTGAACGGGGGAACAGCAAGATCGAAGGGGGGGCTGGTAAGAACGGCGACTCCAAGCGGTCGGTGGGGGCAATCGGACGTTGCCCGATGGCTTCCAGCGTCATAACCATTTTGTAAGTTTCGCGATCTATTTTTAAAATGGGCTGCATCCCTCCAATCCGGAAAGACCTAAGGGAAGTGTTACATCTCCCTCTGGCCGGGTACGGCCTTCTGGTCCAGCTTGTCTGCATAGTCATCCAAGTCATCAATTTAGTGACAATATTAGACTCCAAATATGCTTGGTGGGGTCCGGACAATGACAAAGGTACTATCCATCGACCCCCCCGTCCCTACCTATCGACCCC